AGAGAGAGAAAAGAGAGAAATAATATCAATAAATAAGCAAACGGAGAGTAAAATATATTTTTTCTGCATTACTAATGATGATATTAATAGTAACTATGAGAGTAGTTGTGGCTGATTAATGATGATAACAAGACAACAATGATAATAACAACAATAATAAAAGTCGTTATCATTATCATCATATTATGATAATTATCATCATCATTACCATTATCATTATCATCAGTATTGTCGTTGTCTTTAATATCATTATCAGAATTATTGTGACTACCATCAAAATCGTAATTGCAGTCATTACTACTATTCTGATCACTATTTCAACACAGCCGGAGGTGGAGCCTGTGCGATTGTCTGCGATACTGCAACTCCCTCTGCTTGGGTCATCAACTACAACTACATTGGATGCAGCTTCTATGACCAGTGCAGTCCGACAGGGAACGTACGGAAGAATTGCGCACCGGGGACTGTGCTTGGAAACCCCTCCTGCATGTTCCCTGACCCAACGACCGTGTGCCCGTGTCCGGAGTGAAGAAGGGGGAGGGGGGGAGGGGGAGGGGGAGGCGCTGGTTGGATTACTCTTCTCTAGCCATGACTACCGTCTATTTCTCTTTTTTTTTTTTTTTTTTTTGTCTCTCGCGTTTTCTTTCACTCCCTCTTTTACGTGCTGTTACTCTCTTACTCTCTCTCTCTTTCTCTCTCTCTTTCTTTCTCTCTCTCTCACTCTCACTCTTTCTCTTTCTCGCTCGCTCTAACCTAACCTCCTAACCTATCGATTTCACTATCTATTACTAATCTATCTAGCTACACGCGAGAGAAATGGAGCGAAAGGGGAAATGAAGGAGAGAGAGAAAGAGGGAAGAGAGGGGGATGTGGATAAGAGAGAAATAATGCAAATATAAAGCCCAATAAACGTGCCTGATCATCACTGTAACACAAATAAAGAACACTATGAAAATGAGAACGACTACAAACTACACTTCACTAGAGATAATCAAAATCTTATCAAGCTTACCATCTTGTACTGCAAAAAAAAAAAAAAAATAATAATGATGATAATAAAAATAATAATAATAAAGATTATAATAATAAAAATATTCAAGCGTACTTTCTCTACATTTGTCAGGCTGTGCTGTATCTCTACACAATGTGAATTGCATTTGTCACTTTCAGTAGGAATTCAAACTGGGACACTTAGCTCATGTGGCAATACGCAGAACTGGCAGGAAGGCAATACTTATTGCACTAACACTTACTATTATGGAAAGAGGATTGATCATGAGCTAGATGCGGAAATGATGGCTCCTGAAACGGAAATACTAATCATTTTGGAAAATACTCTTCTGAAGTTGACAGAAATATGTTGCGTAATTGATGCACGGATCAGTGTAATTGCAGATATTACAATAAAGGAAGCAATGCATCATGCGATTAATTTAAATCCCATTATACATCATTTACCTGATATATCAAATATCAGAGCCTATCTATCTATCTATCTATCTATCTATCTATCTATCTATATATCTATCTATATATATATATATATATATATATATATATATATATATATATATATATATATATATATATATATATATATATATATATATATATATATATATATATATATATATATATATATATATATATAATATATATATATATTATATATATATATTATTATATATATATATATATATATATATATATATATATTATAATATAATACATATATAATCGATCTCAAAATAATCTAATACATATACGTACATATATGCATGTTTGTATGGAAATATATGTATGGTGCATCCACATGAATACACACACACGTAACACACACATAAACACACAACAACACAACACACAAACACACACACATACATAAATAGCATATATATATATATATATAATATATATATATATATATATATATATATATTATATATTATATTATATATATTCTATATGTATATATATATATATATATATAATAATATATAATATATATATTATATAATTATTATTATATAATATATATATATACATACTATATATACATATTATAATTATATATATATATATAACTCTGTGTACATATATATATATCTATTCTACCTATCACACTTTCTCCTCTCTATACCTCCATCCTTTCTTTCCTCTCTCTCTCTCTCTCTCTACTTCTCTCCTCAACTCTCTCTCTCTCTCTCTCGTCTCTCTTCCTCTCTCTCTCTCTCTCTCTCTCTCTTCTTCTCTCTCTCTCGTCTCTCTCCTCTCTCTCTCTTCTCTCTCTCTCTCTCTCTCTCTCTCTCTCTCTCTCCTCCTCTCTTCTCTCTCTCTTTCTCTCTTGGTAAGTTTGTTTCTCCTTGTTTTTATAATTCTCTATATCTGTCCATGCATCTCCTATCTGTTCGTTCTTGTGTGATTGCGTTTTCGATGTGTTAGCTTCGTTATGTGTATTATTCTTACTTTTCATTCTTATCTTTGTTTTTTCATCTGATTA